TAGTTGTTATTGCGATGAATATTACCACAGCCTCAGTGGTCGAATTGACACGACACCCGTACGGTATACGGGAGGTTCCAGGTTCAAACCCTGGCTGGGGTAATATTTTTCGCAATAAAATTTAAAAACTATTTAATTTAGAAATTACATCAACTGACCAAAACCCATGGTCAAAATTAATAATGTCTCGATGATTGATCCGAAAAAGTGCTGTGTGAATCCGACAAACCAAGTTGGCTCACAGTTTTTCAATGTTCATATCGAAAAGACGTTATATATTGCCAGTCACGGTCGATTTAAATTACTTTAATTGTTATTCTATATACTGGCGAAAAAAATTTATTATTATATATTTTTTATTCATTTATTGTTACAACTTTTTACTTATTAGATAAGGAGGCCCACACTTGGGGGACGTCACCGTCAACATCTATAATATCAAAGTCAATATTTCCTCGGCCGCTCTCTTCCTCGTCATCATTTTCATTGCCGTCCTTATTATTGCAATCGTCGTGGTCAAAGTGCGCAGCATCGCGGTTAATGCTTCTAATCCTTGCGGCATACAACCGGATGTGGTTGCGCGCTTTTCGCAACAGGGAGACAATAAGTCCTCTGCGTCAAAAATATATATTATCAATAAATATTATCCATAAATACATAGCGTTATTTAAGAAAAATATAATTTAACGTTTGTACACTTACAATCGATCCTGCATATGTGCGTCCTCGTCGACGCAAACTGTCAAATGGAGACAAGGCGGCGTTCTTTGAACGATGTTAAAGAGTCGATCCTGCAACTGCAGGATCGCTTGGTGGAACTCGTCCGTAGCCGTAGCTACATGAGTTACGTGAGTTTGCATTTCGTCACATATCGCGCAAAGTTCGTTCCTTTATCCATTATATGTCTCAGTAGTATACAATAGGTCGCGTAAAAAATACGGGTAAACTACACCCAAGTCTAGCCGCGAGCTCTTTATATACCGAGAAAGTGCAACAAAGGGGAGGATATTGCGGTAAAAAAATATACTAAGAATAGCATTTTTTGCGTCGAGGAAAAAATGCATCGAGGAAAATAATGCATTTTTATCAAACCGACTCATCCACCGGAATCGTCGACGCAATTTTTTCCACCCGAGACCCCCCGCTCTAGCCACGACTTCTTTATATCGAAAAAAGTGCAACAAAAGAAGGATATTGTGGTACAAATATAATAATATTTTATCCGCGCCGAGAAAGCGCGACAAAGAGAGGATATCGCGGTAAAAAAAAATGTAACAAAAACAGCGTTTTTGCGTCGAAGAAAAATACATCGAGGAAAATAATGCATTTTTATCAGGCCGACTCATCCGCCGGAATCTTCGACGCATTTTTTTTCCCGCCCGAGACCCCGCCGCCACTTATCCGCGTTATCGCTAACGAGCGTCCTCGCGTAAACGTTCGCATCCGGAGCGCTCGTCGAGATCGCGCTCAAACCGCAACGCGCCGTCATCGCAGTTCCGCCGTCTCTCTCGCTCTCGACGATGTGGCTCGCGCGCGTAATCGCGTTAACCGCGTGCTTTATCGCCGCGAGGTGCATCAATCCCACAATTACGGACGAAAATTACGCGCTCACGTTCGATTACCTGCAGAAATACGGATATCTGTCCAAAGACGTAGACGCGGTTCCGGCTCAGAGACGAAACGACGTTCTTCGCAAAGCCTTCGAGGATTTTCAGAATTACTAAGATTTACCCGGCGACGGAACGCCCAACAACGAAACGGTTTCCAAGATATCCTGAAGCACGGAACGAAAGCGAGCCTATCCAAATGGCCGAAGACGCAACTTACGTGGCATTTTCACTTAGCCGACGAGACCGAGCTGAGCACGGCGCGGGACGCGTTCGACCTGTAGTCGCAGCATTCGGCATTGACGTTCGAACGCTCCGAAACGCCGAATGCCGACATTATAATATCTTGGCGACGCCTACGTCACTATAACACGAATACCAAGGTAAACGGAGCAATTTGCTCGGACAAATTCGACGGTTCCGGCAACGTGCTCGCCTACGCGTCTCTTCCGACGGACCAAGCGGAGTTCGTCTCCGAGGTGCACGTCGACGGGGACGAGCCGTGGCACATTTACGTCAATAAACATCCCGCGGATAAGTTCTCCCTGCATTACACGCTGACGCACGAGATCGACCACTCTCTCGGATTGGTGCACAACAGGCGCATCGGTGATGTTCGCGATACAGCCGGACCAGCAGTATCCGGTAAAGCTTGACCAAAACGACATCGCCGACATTCAACGTTTGTACGGTGAAAAAAGTACGAACGAGTTCCCGCGTCGGACGCCGGCGCCGCCGCCGCCGCCGCCATCGCCGGACCTGTGCAGCCTCGATCGCGTGAACGGGATATTGATTTTGGAAAACCAAATGTACATCTCGTACAAGCGTTACGTTTGGTCGATCAATCTGGACGGTAGGACGTACAACGGACCTTTAGCCTTTCGAATCACATGAGCTTTCTTCACGATAATTACACGCGCGTGACCGCCGCCTATCAATCCCCGTCCGGCGATCTCGTGGTGTCCGTAGATAATTTGGTATACTTGGTTCAATATCCGGAATTTAGTCTGCGGCCAGGTTGGCCGAAGACCTTGCAAGAACTCGGATTTCCCGAAAACACGTTGATCAACGGAGCGGTGAACACCCACAGAGGACGTTCCTTCGTGGTGTTCAACGGTAACTCGGTGGGCGAGATAGATGAATGCGACAAGGACAAGAGAGTCGCCAAATTTACGCCCTTCGAGGCGACGTTTCCCGGAATACCGACCGGCGTGACGTCAATCTTCCGCTACGTCGACGGCAATCTGTACTTCACCACTCGGGCGCAGTTCTACAAATTCAACAAATTTACGAGGACCGTCTCGTTGGCCGGTAAATTCGATCTGCGGATACTAAATATCGTCTGCCCTAGGGCCGAACTGTTGCAGCAATTGCGCGATCTCCTCGATCGAATCGTACGCCTCAACGATAACTCATTAACGTCAGCGGCGAGCGATTATTCGGACGATGACGACACCGGCGTTCGGCTCTCCGATCTCCGCATCCGCCGAAGGAAGTAGAGGACCGCGCAAATTTCCCACACCACGCCACGCGCGACATAAGTCAAATCTTTCCTACTTATACCGATGTGTCCCCCCCCCAAGGCATCAGTGTCGCATCGTCGGCCGAATACGACGCGTCGGAAAAAAATCAGAAACGAACGGTTACCGCAGCGCGTAGCGCGAAATGTTCTCGACGTTGGCCGATCGACCCGCGCCGACGGGTATTTCCCCTCCGGAAACGGCGGATTCGGAGGCGAACGACAACGGCAATAAAATACGAAAGATCAGTTTGATGGATGATCGTCATTATCGTCCTCATCGCCAGGAGTCGCGTCGCAGCTCTCATCCTCCCACCGACGCGCCCGTCGAGGACGATCGTCATTGTCGTCGTCATCGTCAGGAGTCTTGTTCCAGCTCTCGCCCTCCCACCGACTTGCCCGTCGAGGTGCCCGCGGTGCGCGTCCTGACGACGCGCTATTTGCTGACGACGACTGGCTACAAGTACATAGCCATAGTTATCACGATCAAGTCACCATGGTACAGCACAAACACCACGCCTTCGTACGTGGATATCGCCCTGGAAGACAAACAAGTCAGGGAGGTCTTCCTGACGCTCGACATGTGGAAAGAGCTGGTCGAGCGCAAACGCGACATATTGTCGTGCATGGAACGCGGTCTCTCCGACGGAACTCGCCCCCCCTCGCCGATGTCGATCGAAGGGATGACGCTGCGATTCGAAATGATCAACAACACGCCGATCCTACGTATGGAGCTACCCAACCTGGCTCGCGTGGCGATGGTGCTCAAAACCCTGCTCACGCTGTACGATCTCCAATTTTGCGTCGATCGCGTCGTCCGGGCGCTGAGCGCGGCGACCGAGAAGGTCGACGCGAAGTATTCGCGCTATCGGGAGATAGCCGCCCACGCGAACAAAACGGGTACCTCAAACTGGGATACTGAAGAGCGATTTCTTCGATCCTGACAACATCGTCGACTGCGAGATCGCCGCGCTCTGTTTCCGATCCTAATAATAATGTCGCGTCTACAAATATATATATTCATACGAGCAAAACAATGTAAACGCGCGTGTATTTTTTTTTCTAAATAAAATAAACTACGTATCTTATCTGTGCGCTCTCCCTTTCTTTTTTCCCCCTTTTTCCCAGATCCGTATACCTATCTCCGCGCGACCGCGTTTACCCCCGATGTCGCGGCGATCGCGTCATCCGCGACACGGATCGAAACGACCTTCGAACCGAGAATAAAACAACAACGAAGAAAGGCGATCGAGACCCGCGAAACAAACGACCTTGAACGCATTTTTTTTTCGGAACGTTGAGAGGAGCGACCTCGAACGAGTTCGAATGAGTTCGGGCAAGTCCGGACGCACCCGGACGCGCGCGAGCGAAAAAAATTAGCGCGCGATTTTCCAAAACGGTCGGTAACGGCACAAGCGCCCCCCTCGGAACGCCCGCGTCCCCGCGCCGAGCCCCGTTGGCGGTTTTGCGGCGCGATATTCCCTATTTACTCGCCTAGGAAATTTACTCCCAACAAGGTCCCCACAAATACCAGTAAACAGCCGTCCCCCCGCGTCGCGCTCCCCCCCTCGCCTAGCAAATCGCCTAGGGACTTTTCCCCCCGCGTAGCCCCCCCTCCGATGACCCTTAACACCGTCCCTCGACCCCCTCGCCCACCGCTTACGGCGTTCCCCCCGCGGCAGCGAGGCACCCCCCGACCCCGCTAACCGCAAGCGAGATGTCTGAGTGTAGAAGTGGAGGTTATCCCCTTACTCTCTTTGCTTGAAAAATTGAAACACATATAATATAAAGAGCAGTTTATGCAGGATCATTTTTAGTTACACATCGAAGCTTTAGGGCATCACTTTAGAGCATCATAAAGAAAAAAGAAGTGACATAAGTATTGATTACTTAAGCTTTGTTTTCCACATCATGCTAGTTCAAAGAAAGTATTGCAAATGTCTATTTTGCACGGTACATCCAGATTCAAATTAACATTTATTAATACTGTAGTATCTCTTCTGCTTTGTTGGGTTGGTGTCGCGCGTATCCTAAATACCATAACACGCTGGCTACGTGCGCACATGTACCCACAGTTCTTGCACCTGATTTACAGGTGCAGTAATAACCTAATATCACTTCCCTCTCATCATCTACGTCGTCTTCATCTCTCATATTGTAAGCTATAAATATTTGATGTTTCGTTGCATTACCAGACTTTATAAGGGTGCGAGTGTTTTCACGGTTTCGTAATGCAACACGCACGCACGCACGCACGCACGCACGCACATGGGACCAGCCCCCTACCACGTCCATGTCGTTGGTTCTGGGTTATGCCAAGAGTAGGGATATAGTACTCGCGCAGACCATAATTTTTCATGTTTGACTGGCTGTAGCTCAAAAACTGTTCATTATTTAGCTTTGTGCCCATTACATTTTTTGTTCAGTATGTTATAAGCCACAACATATTAAAAAATTACGCGATTTCATTGGAATCCAATTTCCTATATAATTAGTGCGGGGTCCTTTGGTATCATATCCTGCATAATATCATATGGTGCTGCTATTGTTGCCGATCGAAGTGCACATGTAAACGCGACATTCAATACTAGGTCACAGAGCTCCGTCACTTATTGGCTATGAAATATTTAAGTATATTGTTTGGTTTTGGTTTGCTGGTTGTGGGCCAGGAACAAGTGACTTCTCTTCTCTCAATGGACAGAGTCTTGAAAATTGTAGTGGGTGATAATTGCATCGGCGATAAAGGACTTAGGCCGGTATTTATAGTCTTTAAGATCATCTTAAGTAATGTCTTAAGACGTTAATACGGCTCTGTGATTGGTTCATAACATCTTAAGATTGAACTTAAGACGGTCTTAAATAACTATGAATACTGGCCTTAGTCTCAGACCAGCCATTTTGTTACTCTGTGATTTTCGAGGACCTCTCAGCCACACTTCTAGAAAATAACAGAAGCTATTAGAATAAGAGCAGATTTTCGTAATTTTTAAATGAGAATATTTACCACATTAGATCGTTTATAGGTAAGGCCACGACACTCTCGCCACGAACGGCATACCCCCCGCCGTGTATCCTGGCGCCGGCGGCGGCGCGTATGCTGACGACGGCGCGTATACCGGCGGCAGCGGCCATGGCGCGTATGCTGGCGGCGGCGGTGTGTATGCTGGCAGCGAGTATACTCCGCCGGCGTACCTTATGTTTCTCCGCTGCTTCTGCAGCGCTCGACGCACCGCTTAATTTGCGATCTGTAAAAAAAAATGTATATGTATAGGGTGAATCATTTTAATCGACGCAGGCAAATATTTTGAAAAATGTGGAAGATACAGAAAAATGTTTCAGACAAAAGTTGTATGTCTAAGAGGGACACATGATTCGGATATGTTGTAGCCGGACGGAAGATCGACATTAACCACACGCCCTCGAGATCATTAATTATCACGGTCGCCACTCGATTTTAACCTAGGCCTATCGAGAAAGATACTGATGAATGACCAACCTTTCGCTGACTTTGCTAATTCCCCTCTCTACGACTCTGTTTCAGCTCCCATCTGTCTCCGGATCGACCCGCTGGACCTGTTGGACCTCTCCGCTCAAGGGACTTCCTTCGCTTCTGCTGGACAGCACCGCTTGGCTGGGCCTCAGCCTCTGTGCGTGTTTGTCGATGGAGGATTTCGGGCGGCCGACAGGCGAGATAACGATTGGGATAGGTAAGTCTTTGCAGGTTGTCTCAATCGAATAATCGTCACACGTGTGTTTTCGTAACAAGAATTGAATTATAATTTATTTTCCTTTTGTTCGTTAGTTACGTTACATGGACTTCGCGGAATAACGCCCCGTTAAGCGGGATCGTTCTCGTTCTCGCTCGCTGTTAGCGCACGCGTTGAGACCAAATTGTCTATCTTACGCCGATGCTCCTGACTACAGAAAGCCAACACTATACGCCGGATAATTCTAAGTGAGACGAGTGCTCCGATGCGAGAACCGTTCGCATCGAGAGCCGAGAGACGAATTCCTCGATTCCCCGGCTCGGCTGGCCTACCTCGATCGGGTGGGGATCGCCCCACTTGTCGCTATCGCCGGACACCTGTGCTTACAAACGGCAGCTGTGTCAATAGCCTCGTGAATGGTCTTATTGTTTCGCGCGCAAACACCTTTTGTTCACGGCCGAACATCTGGCCAACATCTGTATTTATTCGCTACGCAGTAGCGCAAATACTTCCGCATTCCGCGCGCTTTCACTTTTCGCGCAAACATGTTTACGCTCGACGAATCGAATCTTGGAACGATCCAGAAGATTCTACATGTTTCCGCTCGTTACGATTCCCTATGCTAGGTTCTATCGCGGGTTCGTCCTCGCGGTGACGCTACGCCTCCA